TAATATCATCAACATTTATGGGTTTCAACTCTCCTAAAACCAAAAATTTGATAAAATCGAATATGAACGGCGAATCATCAGATGTTTTAGAGATATTACTGCTTTCGAACACAATTTCGAAGATTTTTAAAACGGTTTCAAATTGTCACTGAAAATTATTTGATAAGAAATTCGGAAGACTAACTGAAAATCCTTCAACAAAATTTCAGAGAGGAAAAAATGTTCCTATCATTGCTTAAATCTCAGTTAGGATACTTTCTCTGTGGGTGCCAAAAAAATTAAAAACATTTGTTACAGTTATGATTATTATGGAAATGTAACTTTAGAATCCTATCATATCAAGCATGCCTTGCCTACTAAGCCGTGCCTCTTATCCTTTCGACCGATGTTTTCAAAAATTTCATAAAAATTTTACTAACGAATCCAAATAAAATTCAGAGATCTAAAATAAATGAGGGATCACTTATATGAATCTTCTCTTTTAATACTCCTTTTGTAAATAGGCTTAAAGACTGATATAATATAAAAATTGTAAATACAATGAATAAAAGTGTCAGGATGAAAACAAAAATTAGGTTGAGATAAAATTGAAACGTTAGCCATTTTCACTTCTATGTTCAGTTGTAGTTCAAGATGGTGCTGAAAAAAAGATGCTACATGTATAAAAATATTTATAGCGATGGCGTATGATGCAGATTAAGAGGATATAGACAAATTAGACCACATTTTAACTCCTCTGAGTCACTCCACGCCTACGATGTGTAGCTATATCGGCCTAACTATCGAATAGTGAGCAGGCTTTCTTGTATTAGGTATATTTTTTTTGAATCGACAATGCGCATGAACCTTTTCCTACTTGATTCGCAAAAAATTTGATTTGATTACATTTCATAAAATTACCAATCATATATGTCATTTCAATAACCTTTTTGCTTTTTGTTGAAAGCATTCAACTTAATTTTGTCCCCTGATTTTAGGGCATTATTATAAATATCATTTATTGAAGTGACGTCAGGTGTTTGGGAAAATATATTTTGAATCGATCAACATAATCCACCAAATTAATATTTATCAGTAATTCTCCAAAAACTGCCAAGTTATAAGATTTCAATCGAAATACGCGTCTGTAACTTTTCAAAAAGCCATGAATGATATTGACCTCAATATTTCTTTGGCAATGCTGCTTTTTGAACTTTTGATTTATACCTGGTTACAATCCTTACAAGGATTGCTTCTTCATTAATAAGTGATACTTCGTCCATGAATGTCTTTCGAAATCTATATTGCATATCTCAATTTACCATTTTAGCTATTTTTTCGTTAAAGTATTTGATTGAAATCAGTTACGATTGTCCGATTGTCAAAATTTTAGATTATATTCGCAAAATATCTCAATCATTTTGATGCAGTTAGCTATTTTGAAATTTTATTGTGATCGAATATTTTACACCCTTATATGATTGTTGACTATTCTATGAAATTAGTTCTAATACAGTTATCGTAATACCTATTATAACTTGGTGGAGGTTTGACCTTATGATACTTAAATCTTGAATTAGGAATACCCACTGGTAATGGATCTTTCTACCGTTATCATTTCGTGCTCACCAATAAAAGACTAGAAGGTATTGCACAAAGTGAGGAAAATTCCTCCAAGTTATTTGGTTATATTTAGAGATGTCCAATGTGCATTTACCGATAGATTCACACATTGCTCCATTTGAAGCATATTTAATAGCTATTGCTTCACCATAAATGCATATTATATATCGCTGAATAATCTTACTCAGTTGTAGCTGAAAACACCGTAGATTCATAACCCAACTATTCAGTATTATGTGAGTGATATGTTGGCTACTTTACCATTTCCATCTTCCCAAACACCTACTAACTGAATGTTACATAACTTTTCGATTCCTTGAGGGTTGATCATAACCTACTCTAAAGTTTATTTCCGAGATATAGGTGTTTTTATTGTACTCAATATTTATGCTTTTTTCTGCGCCATAAATTTTGCTCAATGAATTAGCATGAACCATGTTCTAGCCTAGCGCAACCGCATCATCACCGAATACTAGATACTTAGATACTTGTTATTTAACTACAGTATTCCTGAGGTGATGAAGAAATTCTGAACTGGAGAAAATAGTAAATGTTTGTATTTAGAAGGGATCAATATTAATATAGCAAACATAAGTTACTGTAACCCAATACAACGTAATGTGAAACCTTATATTGCAACGATATTTGTACCGAAAATGTATACCTTCCCTAATAAAGCAGAATGTGAATACAGGGTTGTTTCATTCAAAACTCATAAAATGTGGATGTTTCTTTTATTTCGTATAGTTGATCAGAACAGATTTGGCCTGTACTGTACATACTCGTAGGTACGACATATAAACAAGCATTTGAATGCAAAATTTTTGTTCTTCGCAACACTATGAGTTAAAAAAGCGTCCATGACGCAACATGTGCTCATTAATTTGAAGGCATATGGAGTTATTTTTAGTAGTGAGGTAAATAAAATATCTAATTATGAATAATAGTGGTAATGTGCACAAACCCCACACTTTTTTATGTAGGTATGGTCTCAGTTACTAGTTTATTGAGTTCAGTTTTTAGGTTCTGTTGCATAAACCCGATAATAATATGTTAGGACATATATATTACCTGTGTTCTGTGCATATCGTGAATTTTAACTTTTAACATAATGGAAAAACTAATAGGTGCTGGACACGTTTGTGCTGTATTATAGAACCAGTGATGTGCTCCAGCAAAATGTTATGAAATATATTTGCGGATACTTGATAAATAAATTACTGAAAATTCATAGTCGTGACATTTGTGTGAGCTATTCCCAAACAAACTGTGAATTGAATAATGAGTCTTTGTACTGTTATTTCGGAGCTTTTCAAAATGTAACTCTTGACACATTCGGTAACTTAAGGATGCCCAAAAATGAATTTGTTTATTTTATTTCCTCCTTGGAAGTTAACTTTCAAAGCAATTTTGAAAATCTTATTGTAGGAACAAATGTCATTGTTTGAACAATTTAATTATAACCATCCATGTGAAAATTCCCCAATATCTCACCTTTTGAAGTTATATAGTAGAGTAAGATTATTTGATACATTAATATATAGTAGAGAAAGATTATTTTATACATTAAAATATATAAATAGGAATTTCAAATCTCAGAAAAATATTGCCAAAAAAAGAAAGAAGAATAAAATAATAATTTGGAGACACGAATAATTGTTTCAAAATGAACAATTTGTATTTCTAGTATTTTCCTTATATAATAATCACCAGCTATCCTGGAAACCTAGAAGGATCCTAAGTGGGTCAACTACATGATATTGACATTTCAGGAGGGTGAAAAACGTGTTGTGAACGTGTTACTAAAAAAGAATATAGAGATTGGACTAACAAAAGTAAGTTGGTGTTTGGATAGAACTTACCTATGTATATATAAAAAAATACATTTATTTTGAAAAAGAGTTCATTCTAAAAAGCAAGGAGAACGTCAATTCTTATAATAAAGAACAGGCAATTCAACTGAAAGGTTGATTAGTAATATACAAAATCACATTTATTTTAAGAGAGGTGTATCATAAAGTTTATACCAAAAAGTTGATTGCTGGACAATTTCTCCTTCATATTCCAGTTGATTGTACCATTGTATTCCTACTGGTGATTTTAGAAATAATTCAGCTGTTTTGACATTTTTTGAAGAAATCATGTAACCAGATAGAATGTCTGCACAAGAATTATCATATCAATTGAATTTGGGTCCATTTCGTAAGGAATATCAAAATTATATGAGCATTTTGGATATAAAGAAGTTTGAATGCGAACCTGTCCAAAACCATTTCGCGAGTCCTGCCATCTTATCGTCATTTCCCTAAATGACGTCCAGATACTTTTCCACATCAAAGGCGGCATGGCCAAGTGTCCATGCTGATTGTTATCTATGCTGTGACAGCGCCGTTCAACAATCGGCCTGAATAAAGGCCAGTACACACCTGTCATGCACCCTTCAGATCCGACTCCCATCATACAGTCGGACGATTGTCTGAGAAGGAAATGGTATTTTAGTCCGAATCCGAATAGATTAGTTCACATCATTCCGATGCGTGGCAAACTCCGCTCCCACCCGACTCCGTTCCTGTATTCGATCATGATCCTATCGTGCAGTCTATTTGTTCTCACAAACTACTCAGAGTAAGTGGTTTGTGTTTGTTCTCCAGCTGTGGGACGCGTATCGCTTGGAGTTTGTATGATATTTGAGACAAAGATTCTAGGAGTTTAATTTCCAACAGGTTGAACGCCGACATGGACATTCTAAATTTTTGATAAAATTTTGTTTCGTCATCCATCAGATGCGTGTAATACTCTCTTTCTGCAGATCTTCTATTCCAAGCAGCATGTACCCAAAATGTTAGTTTTCCGCTGTTCTCTATGAGAGCTCTCCAATTTTCTTCATCTTCTTCTTCCATAGTGCCATAATGGCTAAATCGCAATTGCAAAAATTCTTGAACATTTTGCTAAAAGGACCTTTCGAGATATTGTTTGAATCGACACTGGCGAGAATGGCAAGTGTATCAACCCGAAGCGGTAAATCGGAAAGAAGTCGGAAGCATGTATGACAAGTGCGATTACCCACTGCACCGATCCGCTTTTGGGGCTGTAACGAAACCTCTCTCCTTTCATAGCACGTCGTTCATATTTGCGGAAATTATTTGTTGTGGTATAATTGTTGCCATTGCACCATTGCTGTTTTGCATTCAATTTTGTGCTACTACTAATAAGCAATAGGCAATTTGCAGTCAATCCGTGGTATTGTTGGCTACATACACAAGAAGCCAGTATTGACAAAGAAACTACGTTTGGCGTGAATCCCGAGCATTCCACTGAAATTACTATAAAAACACTATCTACCCTTTTTTGTAATACCGTTTATTTTATGCGAATATCAGGTTTGCAGTGGGAAACAAGTCGTTTCCATCGACATCTTTCCAATTATTACATTTTGTAACAGCTAAAGTTATTTTGAATGTCTTTGGGAGTTATCCAGAAATATTAGATAACTTACATTTCCTATGGTGTGCCTGCATTTATATAGGTAGGTTTGAATAAGTTGATACAGGGAAATGTAACTTTATTCCCAAATGTATTTTTGGATATTAACCATTTATATAGTTTTAGCTCTGTCAAACTCTCATTGGTATCATATCTGATAACACTTTTGACCACTCAAATGAATCGACCGGATCCACCGCTATTTCATTTGCTCCTACAACCCCGAAAAACCCTAAGATAACGAAATCCATTGCAGGGCAAAATCAAACCGGAGTTGGATCGGAGAAGTGTATGAAGAAGTGCGTCTCGGCCTTAATATTTGATCAAACAGCTAGGCAAATAAATGACTTGGATCGGTGACGTTTCATTACTTGCCTAGCTGTCAATATGGCGTTGGCAAACGACAAATGTGTTGGTGTTTTCCAAAGTTCATTGTAAAATAATACAATTTAGGAGTATAGTGGCAGTAATAATGTGAATTTAGCTTTGAGTGACTCGAGAAATTTAATTTCTAAAGCAAATTTCCATCGAAAACTTGTTGAATATGACGAACAGCATCAAGATGAGTTTGTTTTGTATTTTCTTAGGTGGCCATGAGTTCTGGACAACGAAGGACGGCTGTATATTCCGAAGGCGAGTTTAAGTGGCTTTTAAACTACCAAGATAACGCAACCAAAGTTTTGAATCTACGTCCGTTTAAAACAAAAAAAGCTGTTGAGGTAGCTTGAGAGCTGATGAAGTTTTTTTTTGATATTTGGAATTTACTGAAATTTAATGATATGAATTAGTTGCAATGTATACTGAGTGCAAAAATGTTCATGATTTCCAAAAAACATTTTAAATGTATTAAATGAACAATTTCTTATGTACGATGTTTCATCTTTTTTAGTCGTACAAAGGCTGTCGTATTGTTGAAGCTGCTGAAGTATTTGTTGTTTTGGTAGCATTAGTGTCATCCAAATAACTTGTAAATTTTTCAGTGGTTTTGGAAGTTTGAAGTGATTAGACTGTGGACATAAATATTTCAAATTCAAAAAAGCAACAAATAAGCTAATTCATTTCGGATCTATAAGAGCCTTACTACTAGCTAAGTAGAAACAGCTGACACATATCAAAGAAAAATTGAAAAATAATCATTATTTTTCGTACCAAAAATAAAAGTAAAATTGCTCTTGGTAAGCTGTGTATGGCAATAAAGTGAATTTTCATAATTTTACTTCTCTCTCCCTTGGCAAGAGAGGATATTTTTGTCTTGAAGAGAGACAAATTTTGCATTGCTTTCTCTAAATAATCAATAACTAACTTCAAAATCACCGATTCACACTCAATTTACATTAGAAAGAATATGGTGGACTGATTGTGACCTTTTGAAATGTAAAAAAATCATTCAAACTTTTTAAATGTTTCATTTTGGCACCACAGTGTGACGTCTCGCAGGGTGTCAACAATGATATAGTTTCTTGTGGGAATTAATTACAATGTCAGTTTCATATTTCATGAATAATGAACGTTCAAACTATCATGAATATACCCAACTTTCATCGAAACTGGACGTTGTTTTCCATAATTTATATTGACCATCAAGTATCTCAATAGGGAACACGACAATACGTAGATATCTCAGTTTCAAAATATTTTGATTGCAACAAATACATTATTACTCCCTTTAATATGAGAGAATAGTTCGGAATCACGAATAAAACTTCAAATTATTCATACAACATAATTAAAAACGATGAATTTTCATACCAGCCGAAACCCAACACTGGCATTGTCTGTATGTTTTGTAGGATACTTTTATATTATTATCGTTGATCATCAAGCACAAATTTGAAACATTCTTCTCTATTATTATCCATATTACTGGAGTTTTTTCCAACACCAAACCGTTATTTTAACTCCTCGACACGTGTTTCGATTTCCAAGTGATCATCTTCATGAGGAAGATCAATCTGTGAGTGGAAAAACGCCAGTAATATTTATTACTACACCAAAGGTTTCAAACAGTGCATCACAAGTACAAAAGTTATTATTCATAGTTCATTATGATAACCACGACATTTGAGGAAAGTTAATTAAATTCAAAAGATCTAATCGAGTTCAAATTGTAGGGCTATTTCCAAATTTAAATATCCAGAAGAGGAGAGAGAATTATTTTTTTTACTGTTTCAGCGTTCTAATAAAAACATCAATTATTTCAAAAAATGAAAAAATACAAACATCTTTCCTATTTACGAATAATAATTTTACTTTCTCGAAAATCTATACACTGTCCCAAGATATGACTATCTTGGGAGAGTCGATTACATAATGATAATTTTTGTTTTATTCGATAAATCGCTTTCGTGGCTGTACGACATAATGGCCCTCATTAACAATCAATATTGAGAATCTAAGTACCTATTGAAATATTTGCCTATATTCGATTGGTATACTTCTCCAATGTATGTTGAAAAAAATGTTATCATGAACAAACACACTTCTATATGAGTAGAATTTTTTCCAATTTGAACATTTATCTATTCTAAGTACAGTCGAATCATTATTTTAACATGTCCTTTGTTTTAGCATACTCCCCATACCCATTTCCTTCTTAGGGAAAATGCGTGTTTTGTCTGATTTTGTTTGTGGGAAAATTGAAAAATATAACGATGAATCGCATAGCAAATCATATGTGGTGGATGTATTTCACTTCTTCAAAATGAGTAGTGTACACCTCTGAATATTCGAGAATCATGATAAATTTCAGAAGCAAACTGGCAGAAACTTCAAATACCTTTGATGCGGTATAGCTATTCTTTGACAAACGAACAAAGCTCAGATTTCACATTTGGCGTTTGACACCAAGAGTTGTCAGTTGTCAGAATTTTCGTCTTGTCATTGTGAATATTGTGATTGTGATTGCCTCAAAAGTTTGATCACACTGATCACAGTGTAGCTATAGCTTTCTACTGTTGTTTGATCAGTTTGTAGTTTTGTAGTATTACTTCTCTAAGACATAATCATGCCTATTGAAAATTTGGAGGACCAAGGTCTGGAAAAGAACCCAGACTTGGAATTAGCGCATTATAAATTTCTACTAACCTTACCAGAGTATCAGAATGATACATTGGTACATACAAAAATCACAGAAGCAATCAAAAAAGATGGTAAGTTGAAATTAGTTATTATAATTCGAAATTCAAGGGCCAGTCATTTTTTTCCATTGGTGAACACTTCTACTACTCGTCATACTCTTACAATGTACAGTATGACAATATACAGTAATTTGTTATATTAAATGCACCAGGAAGACAAAATTATCTGAAAAAGTCTGTTAATTGGTTAAGTTGTGTGACAATGTTCATTAAATTTTATATAAAAGATACAATTCATGACTGGTTGAATTCATATCGGAAATATGGGAAATAGCTAAAACTGACAACTTTGTTCTGTCACAAAGAGGCTAGAAATTATACCACATCTCAACTCATCGATTGAATGACTGAAGGAAACATAATATCAATCCGCTTTTCAAAAAGATCATGGATATCCGCCTAAGCATGATCATTAAAAAAATGACATAGATGCGACTAGTGTCTCACTTCAAATATATGATATATACACTTGGGATGATAAAAGAATGAATAGTCATCATCAACAAAATACCTTCAAGTAAGCTTCCTTGGGAAGGAAGGAAGATGAAACAGTTTTTGTAATGTTATAGTTAAAGTAGTTGTTTTATCAGGGAGAGCTCTTATTTCAATGATGTCTGTACATACTGGAAAATTAAAATTATCAGATTCAGCTAGCCTAACGTTAGGCTAGCAGAAAAACCACAGAAAAATACATTTCCTTGAATCAGACCACGTCATGATATTTAGGCTGATTTCAGGCTCCTATTGCCCTCTGTTGCAGATTTTTCAAGTAGTGTTTTCTTTCAAATCTGTGTGTTCTACTTGTTTCACCGTTAAGGTGGCGGAACCAAATTTCATGCTCATTTTAGGCTTTTTCAATACTATATTGAACATGTTTTGCTACTCCTTGAATTAAATATTTAGGTGATTACCGCATACACGTGATAAAAGCCTGAAATAATTTTTCGAAAATATAATTCAACTTGAGGTGATAAAGAAATGTAATGAGAATTTTTGGAACATTTTAGGCTCCCATGACCCCCCTTTGCCAACTAACGATGTGTTGTTTGAAAATATACTGAGTTCTGTTAGCTTTACCCTTAAACTGACAGAACCAAATCGAAATCCTTCACTTTTTGGAAATATTGAGAATGTTGAACATTTTTGGCTCATAATCACCCAAATATTAATTTCAAACGGGGTGCAAAATGTTCAATGCGATAATGTAGAAGCCTGCAATGAGTAAAATTATTGCAAGTTCATATTTTCCATGAAGTATAGAAGTTTTATTTGGTTGTGTCAGTTTAACGGTCTAGCTAGCAGAACCCACAGATTAAAAAAACAACTATTAGAAAATCGGCAATAGGAGACAATAGGTGGTTGGTTGGGTTCTGATAGCATAACGTTGAGCTAGCAGAATCCGTGATACCTAGATAGAGTTCGAAATTAGACTAAAATTATGGCCTTAAAATAAACAAAAAATTTTGAAGTGGTTCTGTTAGCTTTACCCTTAAACTGACAGAACCAAATCGAAATCCTTCACTTTTTGGAAATATTGAGAATGTTGAACATTTTTGGCTCATCGTTTGAAATAAATATTTGGGTGACTACCTCAGGACCAAGTGATGAATATTCTTCAATCATAGGTGAAAAATAATTATATTGAGAATTTAAAGCTCATTTTGAGGCTCTTGTGAACCCACATTGCTGACTTTCCACCAGTGGGTTCTGCTAGCTTTTTCTACCGTTGTGCTGCTACAACTCGATGGAAATCCTTCACTTTTTGGAAATTTTAATCATGCATTAATTCTTCCATTATGCTATTGATCAATTTTTCGTTCTCCCAATTAATTAAATATTTGGGTGGCTACCTCAACACATGTTGTAGTGTCGGAAAACAATTTTTTGATAGGATTTTTCAGAAGTGGGAGAGAGAAATATTTTGAACATCCCATGAATTATTTTTTTTAAATCAGTGGGGCCAATCGAAATCCTTTTTTTCAAAAATTTTGAACTTGCAATAATTTTAGGCTTGTTCATTATGATATTGTTGATACTTTTTTGAATTGAATATTTGAGAGATTACTGGAGTCACACACACATGGTAGCTAGGGAAACACTCATTTGAAAATACTCTATGTCAGATAAATAGAAATATATTGACAATTTTAGGCTCCTTTGGTCTGTATCGTAATGAATAAGCCTAAAATGAGCTTAAAATTATTACAGCTTGTCAAATCTACGAAGCAACTTCAAAGTCTTGGGTTGGGACCTTTCCTAGGATGCTCGTTCGTTAGGAGACTGTGTGAGAGAGATAGAAATCTCAAGTCTCTTCCTAGTTTTGATAAGCTGTACAAGTTCAAACTTAACAGGAGGTATTTCATTACTAGTGAATATCAAAAATAAAAGCAGTTCTTCATTGATTGGTTAGATTGCTTGGAGCAGTAGCTAGATCGTTTTGATCATATCAGATGCACAAATTGATGACATTTGCACATTCTTTCATCACTTCAGCTGTATATTGACTAGAAATGCTTTAAATTCATCATGAATTGCAGAAATCTAACTTGAAATCTTGAAATTCACAAATTGAATACGACATTTTTAATAAAATCTTGAAATCTCAATTGAAATTCTGAAACCCTTAGGGAATAAAAAAATCTGAAAAATCCATGAAAGCTTGTGGATGTGTAACTGATTATCATTGAATTGTTTAGACGCAAGTAACTGTCTTGATATCGAGTTTGTACTCTCAACTGACAAAAATTCATTTCAAAATGTAAAATGGGAATGTGTTTGGGGAATCAAGTAGAAGTAAAGTTATGTATTATTATTTTCACTCTGATACAACTCCTTAATAATGTTTTAAAATAATTGTTGTTTCCAATCGAGTACATATCCTATGCAACCTGTTCAAATCAAGTTGATTGAACCTGCAAAAGTAACAAAAAATTTGGGCCATATAAGGACCAAACCCATTGTTTTTTTTTTGACATTTTCAATAAATGTTTTCTAGGTAGGGAAAAATTACAAAGGATACACAGACTGCTCAACCTTGGCATGATTGAATGCTCCATAACTTCTAATTTTCAAACTTAAGACAAAAAATTCTTGACTTCTGTAAATAATAGAATCCGCATATTAATAGCCCATAGAATTAAATATACTCAAATGATGCTTATCATTTTTATTCACAGACACAAGTTCGCTCAGATACACTGGATCAAATACCTTCCGATATAGCACGTTACCTGTAAAGTATATTGATATATTCAGAATATGTGACACTGAAAGCTCTTGTAAAATATTTCTCTAAAATTAAAAACGTGTGTGGAAGAGCAGAATTATAAATTTATTTTGAATTTTGTTATATATCTGGACACAAAAAAATTAATGATTCTATCACTTGAAAAAAACTGTTGAAGTTACTTTCAAAAATATTCCTATATCAGAGAGAATAGAAATAATGCCGTTTTGAGTGCTCTTGGAAGATCCAAAATACAAAAAGTTGTCTGTTTGCTTTGTCCTATGAAGTTTGCGAAATCATCAAAGACAATAAAAAAACCCTTTCAAATTAAACAATAGTAACCTTTAAAGAGCAGAATTATAATCTCTAGCATGAAATTAATCCATAGAAAACACTTTTTTCACACCAGAACTAAAACAATGTCTCTTGATTCGTCTTTTTGCCATGTGAGGAAACTTGCATAAATATCTGTCAGATATAATTCAATATCCTTCATGGTATTAGCCGGCAAACTACTTGTTTTTTGGCAAAAATTTGCTAGATACTGTATAGAAACATTTGGAATGGTGAATATTCTAAATTTTTTGTATGCTTGAGATTTGTACAAGATGGAACTGTTATTACTGTGATTTAAAACAATCGTTTTTAATCACAGTATCGTAAAACAGATTTTGCTTCAATGTAATCAGTAGAGTCCTGAACACTGCTTATTTTTTCCTACTACTTGGGAAAAGTCTGACTTATCCATTTTTGTCAAGTCTCTGGGAAACACTGTTAACACGCTGGCCTGTACGTATATTGGTCTCGATAAAGTGATGTAGTAACCAGAGTTATGTTGATATTATGCATCTCCTTCAGACGTTTCAGACTATTTCAAATTCACTTACTATACCTAAGATACTTCTACATGAATATATATTCTGATAACAGGAAAAAGTTTTGAGTTGTTAATCCATACCAAAATATTTGTAGTCACATTTCTCATGGAAGCAGCTTCAGTTAGAACTGAAATGGGATTGTTTGAAAGTTTTGAAAATGTTTTATTGGCTCCCGGGTTTTGCCGTGGTTTTCTTTAGTTATAATCTCTAAACGTTTCAACTGCAACTGCGGCAGTCATCTTCAGTGGTGTGTCAGTTGACACGTCAAGAAGAGTACTTCGACCACGCCACTCAAGATGACTGCCGCAGTTGCAGTTGAAACGTTTGGAGATTATAACCAAAGAAGACAACGGCAAAACCCGGAAGCCAATCAAAACATTGACGGCAGCCGTGAAAACCTACATTCCTATATTAGTTTTGAAAATGTTTCTTGTTGAGTGTCGAAGAATCAGAGAATCAATTGAAATGAAAATAATATTCAAAAATATGAAAGTAAATGAACATATCTCACGAAATTAATGGTTTATCAGGTGTACCACAAGGAAGCCACCTAGGGCCGTTTCTTTCCAACATTTCTATTAATGATATCAGAGTTAACTTAAAATATACTGACATCTTACTTGATTCTAATATGATTTGAAATCTATATCCGAACTAGCGAAATTCACCATGAAACATTGTCAGCCACTTTCAAACAAACAAAAAGAAATGTTCCAGTAACAAAAAAATAGACCACTAAGTAAAAGATCTCAAATCGAGTTACTCAATGATGTTTTGATTATCAGTATCTAAAGCCTTCTTCAGTGAATAACTGTGTCCTCTGTTACAACTGAGCTACGATTTGAAATTTTTAGGATAGATGCAGCATTCTTAGTTGCATCAAAACATATAGGGTAATTCTATTACGTGGTTCAGTTTGTTTCCGTTTTTTAAATGTATCTTGAAAATTTGAGAATTATCAAAGTAGTAGTAAAATCACATTTATATTATATTCTATATATATTTTCAAACTGTGCCTACTGAAGTTTGTTTCAATTTTTAAATTTAAGGTTTTTATTATGTGTCTGTATATTGACCAGGGTAGATAATTTTTGAAAAAAAAATTAATAACAGTAGGATGTGAAACCCATTAGAAAAGGAACTGAAACTGAACTNTTCGTCATGAACAACTCTTGTAAAATGCTATTCGACTAGTAGTTTTGCCGGAATTCGAGATAAACCATTTTTTACCCTTAAAAAGTCACCCCCTCCCACTTCCCGAACTCAGATCGCCCGTAATTTATTTTTCTTTTCATTTTAACATATCCCAATCATTTTTTAATGGGTTTCATCCTAATATCATTTTTTCACTTTTTTCCATTTTTGAAGGCTTCAGCCCTGATGTTTTGACCATCGTATATATTTAGTGCTCAATTAAATATTGATTGTTATAGTACTAGTTCAAAGTTCAATCATTACTATTGTAGATATGGCTCCTTGGTATGAATTAATTTGTAAGGACTCTGGCTGGAAAGTGGATCAGAACTTATTGAAAGCCATGAAAATGAAAAATGATGAACAAATAAAACTTTTGGATGAGGCCATTGAAGATGCTGAAAAAAACTTAGGAGAAATGGAAGTTAGGGAAGCATATTTGAGAAAGGCAGAGTACTTCAGTCGAATCGGTGATAAAGATAATGCCGTGAGCACATTTAGGCAAACTTATGATAAGACAGTTTCGCTTGGGCACAGACTGGATATTATTTTCCATTTAATAAGAATAGGCTTATTCTTCATGGATCATGATCTCATCACTAGAAATATTGAAAAAGCAAAAACGTGAGTATATTCTACATAAGAACCTATACATTTCAAGGCTTGAGTCTGATTGGAGAGAACAAAATCCAGTGTTGGTGGAATAGAACTTGTAGTTCCAGATGTTTCTTTCATCTGCTACTGCAGCGGTCAGTACTGACTGGTACTACAATATCCATTCGACCACAGCTTAACAGTCCGTATTTTATTCTCTGATTATTCACTGTTAACCTGAAATTAAATTATACATTTTCAGTTTAATAGAGGAAGGTGGTGATTGGGATAGGAGAAATCGCTTGAAAGTATATCAGGGTGCTTACTGTATGGCAGTAAGAGATTTTAAGACTGCAGCAAACTTGTTTATAGACACAGTCAGTACTTTCACATCTTATGAGTTGATGGATTATAAAGCATTTGTCCGCTACACAGTTTATACATCTATCATTAGTCTTCCAAGGAACCAACTTCGAGATAAGGTAAAAAAATATTTGGATTTGAATTATTGAAATTATTCACTTGATGTTGATTTATTTTTCCAGGTTGTTAAAGGGTCAGAAATTCTGGAGGTTCTTCATTCTGAACCATTTGTTAAGGATTATTTATTTTCACTGTACAATTGCCAGTATGCAGAATTCTTCTCAAATTTAGGTAATTATAATAAAAGTTTTTTTTAAAGCACAATGTATGGTGTATCGTAGTGATTATTTATGGAAGTTAACAGAAAAAACATAATATTGAATAATTAGAAATACTCAGCTTCTAAACTACTTGATATTCCAAATGAATAAATCAGTATCAAAGAAATCACAAGAACTCAGACCAGTGAGGTAATTTTTCCATACTTTCCTGCAGGCGTGAATACGGGAGATGTCCCATAAGTTTTGCAACTTAGCGACACTGGCGTTGCTGAGTAAAATCTAATATTACCATCAAAAAGTTTGACAGTTCAAAAGACTTTCCCATACGAAATGTTTTGTATTACGGAGGTCACTTGTATGTTTACAGTAACTTAAAAATTGTGTCTCAGCGAAATTTGATATTCATTTGCATAGTGGTGAACAATTTCAATTCGGTTGTCATTTTCAACTATGATATTTCGATTGTGTTTCAATTATTGTTGTCATATTCAATATTCTCGTTTGAATTTGAAAACGTGATGAATTGTTATACCGAGATTTATCCCTTCATCATTCATTAATTGTACAATTTATTTTCTAGCGGAAGTAGAAACCACTCTCAGAAAAGACTACTTCATGAATCCTCATTATCGCTATTATGTTCGAGAAATGAAGATTTTGGCCTACACACAGTTACTAGAATCATATAGATCTCTCACCCTACAGTACATGGCTGAAGCTTTTGGTGTTTCTATGGAATACATTGATCAGTAAGTATATGTTGTTTTAAACAAGCATGGAAAAGTGTAGATGGTATTTTCATAAACAAGTGAGCAATGAAAACTACTTTATTTTCATAGTTTTGTTAGCAGCTTTTTGGCGACTATTTTGCCTCTGTATTGTATTAAATGTAATCCACATGAGTAATTGTCGTTTCAAAATTATGGTAGGCAATGTAGCAAGGCCTTGATTTATTCTCGTAAATTATGAAAACTTCAAATATTTAAAATTTTAAACTTCAACAAACCTTCTGAAATATAAACACATAAGACAAATTGATTATTGTCCACCTGAAGAATGATTATGAACGCCATCCCGGAACTAATATCACCTTTCCTGTGAAAATTGACCAAGGTTTCAGATTCCTAGTTAGCAACTTCGTCAACTTCAATAATCTTTTTCCAAGCCAGAGAGTGGTTACTTATTAATTTTTCAGTTTTGAATCAAAAAGTTATTCATTAATTTCAAAGAACAGGATTGACAGTCATTTTCAAATTCAAAATGATCTTGAAAGGTCTCTTTTTGGGATCACAGATTGATGTTTTTCCAAGCTCCAAAAAAGGATCACTTTGAATGTAATTACCAATAAATTCTATATTGTGAAATTTCACTCAAAAAAACGTTCAAATATCGTTACTCTATTTATGTAGATTTCTCTCTTTTGATCAAGTATAGAGTTTCCTGCTTGTCACAATATAATATCTACTGAATTGAAAGGGCTATCTTTTAGGAAAGATTAATTTTTTGGAAAANTATAGAGTCACCAAGATTTAGTCAAAGCCTCGGTAGATAATAACATTATCCTGAGGTGGGTTAAAGGGCACGACAAGAGTAAAGGTAATCGCTTTGCCGACTCTTTAGCCAAGGAAGCGGCTGGACTAAGAATTTTAGGACCCAGTGGCACCCACGGCCTGGTGACTTCGGCAATTGCAGAACTAGCCAAATGTTAAACCCATGTTCAATCCCTAAAGAGATTTCTGACTGGCCACTGTCAACAACAGGAAACACCTCCATAAAATGTGGCTAGTGGACACATATCTATGAAGGATGTGTGAACAGGAAGATGAGACTGTCAGGCATGTCCTATGCGAGTGCCCGGAGTTATCGTCAATAAGAGAGTGTGTGTTTGGCGAGTCTTGGCCTACACCTGCCGATATAAAGATGTTTCCCAGTGACCTGTCCACCTTCCTGGAAAGGACAGGATGGACGATGACGATATTTGGTATGGTATGGAACTCCAATCTGGTATGGTACCAAAGGTTTTGGTACTACCACAGCTGGTTCAGTACCTATATATGGAGTTGAGGATCCGTTGCCATGATACCTAAGTATCCTGGCACTGGGTTCTTTTGTGCCTTTAGTACAACCTGGCTCTGTGAAAATATTGATCCGCACATTTTGTTGGCCCTTACATTGATGTTCCTTGCTCATTGCAAGATTCTGTCCTGTTAGTGTTGTAACGTAGCAGAATCAACTTACCACCGACTAAATAAATTCTTGTGTGAAAAATATATGGTCGAAGTTGGGTTTGGTTTCAGGCACTGAGACACCACTGTTTCCCTGTCTATGGCTTATTAGGAATTTTGGAGTACCTATTGGTGTTTTCAACATACATTTATTTCTAGAGAAAAACTGTGAAATTGTGAAAATAGTTCCTATCCTTTTTCCCTGGTCAGTCTCTAATATATCTCTTTTTATTTTCAGAGAGTTGTCAACATTCATTGCTGCGGGTCGACTACATTGCAAAATTGATAGAGTTGGAGGAATTGTGGAAACCAACCGTCCAGATCTAAAAAATGCACAATTCAATTCTGTTGTTAAACAGGGAGATTTGCTTTTGAATCGAGTGCAAAAGCTGTCTCGTGTCATTAATATTTAGGATATTTTTGTTAATACTAATCACGGTAAAAAAAATTATTAAAAAGACTTTGGTAGAAATAGCTTTCTTTTCAAAATGGAAATTTCTTCTCCAAACGTTTCTTCCTGACACTTTCTGATCCATAACTTCATGGAATCTTCAATTTCATCTGCTTGAATTTCCACAAAATAAACAAGTCATCAATTTCACAGATCACTAAGCCTAAGGATTAAGTGGGGAATGAGAAAAAATACCAGCGTGGTCCAAACAGAACTGGCTGGTATCTCGATTGCCACAAAATAAATAACCAGGAAAGGAATTTCTGGCAAAAAAATAACAATCTGTACTGATAGCAGACAAGCCCCATTAGCCTTGAACAGACAGCGTGTAACCTCAGGGCTAGTACTAGAGTCACCAAGATTTAGTCAAAGCCTTGGTAGATAATAACATTATCCTGAGGTGGGTTAAAGGGCACGATAAGAGTAAAGGTAATCGCATTGCCGACTCTTTAGCCAAGGAAGCGGCGGGACTAAGAATTTTAGGTCCCAGTGGCACCCACGGCCTGATGACTTCGGCAATTGCAGAACTAGCCAAATGTTACACCCATGTTCAATCCCTAAAGAGATTTCTGACCTAAGTATCCTGGCACTGGGTTTTTTGGTGCCTTTAGTGCAACCTGGCTCTGTGAAAATATTGATCCGCACATTTTGTTGGCCCTTACATTGATGTTCCTTGCTCATTGCAAGATTCTGTCCTGTTAGTATTGTAACGTAGCAGAATCAACTTACCACNATAATAGTTTTGATTTTCCATTGTGATATAGAATATAATCGGTCATTGAAGCTTTATTGTATTCTATTTATCAGTATATGTAAACAGATATACTAGTTGTTTTTCTTGGTTTCCGGGTTTTGCCTAGGTCTTCTTCGGTTATAATCTCCGAACGTTTCAACTGCTACTGAGGCAGTCATCTTCAGTAGCGTGGTCGAAGTACTCCTTGACGTATCAATTGAAGTATCAGTCTTCTTTGGTTACAATCTCCAAACGTTTCAACTGCTACCGCGGCAGTCATCTTCAGTGGCATGGTCGAAGTACTCTTCTTGACATATCAACTAAAACTTTAGTTGATACATCAAGAAGAAGAGCACTTCGACCACGCCAATGAAGATGACTGTTACTGTTGCAGTTGAAACGTTTGGAGATTGTAATCAAAGAAGGCCACGGCAGTTTCGCAACTAGAAAATTCAAAAGTAATTAGCTTGAATTAGTTATCCTTTATCAGAAGTGCTTTCAATATGTCTTAGAAGATAATTAATTGGCGCTCTTGGAAAAACCTGCAGCACCACATCATCTGAAGATGTTGATCTGCCAATATCCACTTTCTCATAAAACAGTGTCTCCAAAGGCTCCAATAAATTCAATACATCGCCAGAACACTTCGTGACACGACTATCGTCAAACTTAAACCAGTCCGTTTCGTCTTGGACCAAGGCGTAATAATGACCAAATTCAACGCCAGAACCACAGTGAACAATGACTGCATGAATATTATAATAGTGGTCTGCTAGATTGAAGTGTTCATCTATTTCGAACCTTCGAAAGAGTTTGGTGCTTTCGTCAGAGGTTGAGTCTTGTTTGAAGATCATCAGTGTTATTATTAGATTGACTGGTGCCTCAGCTATACTTGTTTCCTTATAACAGTCAGTTAGTTTGGCGCATGTTTGGCAATACATGCAAAAATTCCATTTTCAAATAATTTAACAATAAGCTTTGCACGGACTGGTTATTATTCATGTTAGGAAATGCTAGATGAAGTTCCAGAAGTTCACATACGTTTTCGCTACCTCTTGAACATATACTACAAAGTAAACAAGCAAGGATTTTTCCAGTAAAAGATTTACAAACACAAGACGAGATCACCTGTTGAAAATTCCATTTTCAAATAATTTAACAATAAGCTTTGCACGGACTGGTTATTATTCATGTTAGGAAACGCTAGATGAAGTTCCAGAAGTTCACATACGTTTTCGCTACCTCTTGAACATTTACTACAAAGTAAACAAGCAAGGATTTTTCCAGTAAAAGATTTACAAACACAAGACGAGATAGACTGTAGAATCATTCAATCCAGAACGCTCAGGACTATTGATTCTATTATTCTTTTGCCCACGAAGAGTATTCAACAAGAACCCCAAAAATTCAGAACAATCCTCTTGTTGTTCTAACGAATATGTAGTGAACTTCAAAGACTCCAGGAAATCGGTTGGAGGGAAAGATGATACATTCTTACGAAACTGCAGCTGCATGAACAGGTGTTTGAGTTTGGTGAATAAGTAGGAAACATTCTCGTTCATCATTAAAACCTTGTTCTTGAAATTTTTCGTCATGAACATCACTTGTAAAATGCTATTCATGTAGCAAGTGTTTCCTAAATTATCCAATCCAATTTTCTTCTCAAAATTTTCAGGACAACTCTCTACTGATTCGTAAGGAAGAACATGTTTCACATAATCTGCATAAGAACCATTTCTCAAGTTGCGATCGTCCTTCCAAGTGAAGAAGGGTTTCGTAGAGGGATCGATTTGGCTCTTTCTTCATGAAGCTCTTCCACTGAAAGGGAACCAAAACCACGAGGACTGCAACTCATATTTGGGGGTCAAGAATGACCTAAGTCCATTGACCGCACTGAAAAAGAAGAAGTTGGATCAATCACTTATGAATTAACTTAAAAAAAAAAATTGAAAATTGAGAGAGAAGGGTGTCAAATCGAGCAGTTTTTGTAGCGGATTTTACATTTGTTTGCTTTTGAAGCTTGCGATTGATATTTACACCATGAGTTTTGTTAAGTTAACGTGTTTGCATTATAAACATTCGTTGTGAACGTGTACACAGTTTCTTTGAACTTTCTTTTAACCAGTGTTAGAACATGTGGATGATTTCAGCTTCGAACCATTTGATGTTATAGCGGTAAATTCAAACATGCTCCATATTTCTGATTTCTCCTCGCTGAGTAGTTTTCTTTTTCTTGCCAATGCGGGTTTTCAAAAGCCCCTCAGTTTCACCAATACAGGACATGCTGCACTTACATAGTATTCGATCGCTGGAGTTGCGGTCTGGAGTCACCAAACTAAGACAGCAACACCGAGATGAGAATGAGGAGCAGTGAAAGTGACCTATAAATGTAAGTAATATTGGGATTAGGCCAGCTATCACCCGAATACGATTGTGGATACTCACAAACAAAACATTGTGAAGTTACTTGAAATCTTTTGTTATTTTGGTATTTCTTTGCATTCTTCACCATTTATCTTGATTATAATTTCATTTTTTCATATATATATTTGATAAATCACTTGTTAACCCATTTGTTAATTCATTTTATTTCAGGTCACAATAATTTGTTTGCTTCAGAAATTAGATACCCTCCAATTGCCGAGATCGGAGGCAGTCCCCTTCCTGAAGACCAGAGTAGTCATTCTGCCGGAAGGGGAAGCTGGATATTCCTCATAAATATGATACTGAAGAGTATCGACCGCTGCCTGCTGGGAAACTTTCTTACCCGGTACACACTGATCCTTTCTATCCTAGAAGTGTTCATGTCCTTGACTTTTTCTGGTCTACCTCCACCTCGCCGTTCACAAGGGATTCATTTGGCTTCCACATCGCCTGTTTGAGGGTAGACTTTGACCTGGTCTTCTGGTCGATAGCTTTCCCAGTGAGGATGCAATCAACCAGTGCCTTCTCGTTATCTCAGTAGAGGTTATATGTCATTTTATAGTTGGCTGCAGGAGGTCTTCAACAGTGCAAAATGGAAATTTTGAGCTCGGGTCAAAATGGCTGGACATCAATGGTATGGATAGCTGTATGAGAGGGTTGCAATGTTAGGTTAGGTTAGGTCCAAAGGGAGTGGGTCTATTCGACCCTACACCATAACGCACAAAAGTTTATTATGGCTCACACCTATTCACACTCGACCAAATAAACCCAGCTTCTTAACGAAGCCGATTATTTTGTATGGAGAGTGGTCTTTCAGGTCAGATGGTGAGAGTACAGCTCTGCCGAACTATAAAAACATGATTCGGTACCTAGCGGGGTAGGCACAAAGTATATGCTCTGCTGTTTCATCATTTTCCGAACAGAGGCGACACACACTGTCTTCCGACAGTCTGAGTCTCTGCAAATGATGATTCAAATGACAGTGACCTGTAAGACATCGTAGTTCATCCCTGGTGTAGTACAACAACTGTTTGGTATCAAGCTTCGAAGAGTGAATAAACGCCTTGGAGTAGCCAATCCTGGAAGATTCTCCCAGAAGTCCATAAATCTTCTTGCCATCCAGGTGTTCAATGTTTGTTTGGCAAAGCCTGAAGCGATGCCAATGACANGCTGTCCGTTCGAGTATAACGACATGAACTTCTGGAACGTCATTTCATCCTCTGGTGGTCTGAGGGTGCGAACTTGGTCGTGATTTCCAGCATAAGGAGCCAATCTATTAAAATGGACAACCCTAGGCTTTTCTCGAGGTAGCTTATGGATTCGGTGGACGAGGTCATTAATCTTTTTCATGATTTTATACTGACCTTCCCAAGAGTTCCGCAACTTCTGTGATGAACCACGATGTCGCTTAGGGTTGTACAGCCAAACTAGGTCATCGGTTTCGAATCCTCCAGCATTCGCCTTAATGTCATAGGCCTTCTTCATCCTATCGCTGGCACTACGGATGTTCAGACGACTCGTTCATGGATGTCGTCTATTTCTGCCGAAGCTTGCTGACATAGTCTTCCCCCGCAGTGTCTTGTTATGGTGGCGTCCCAAATTTCAGATCGCAAGGAAGCCACAGCTCTCGGCCCATTATAATACTGGCAGGAGTTTGGCCGGTTAACTCGTACACTGCCGAATGATAGACTTCAATACCCGCTTCAGAACTCCGTTTTCCAAGGTAAGGGAGTTCTATTGGGCCCAGTAGGACTTAACCGCTGGCGAATAACCTGCTACTCCTACCACGATGACTTTTGATTACTTTTCTTCCATCCGACGACTAAACCAAGATCTGGGTCTTTCTCTTGGTCTTCCTTGGACAAC